ACTGCAGAGTCCGGACTGTAGAGAGCTTTTTACATGTGATGTTTTCCTTCACAGTGTAAAGGGTTTATTTTAACCCAAAACTTACATGATTTCAAACTCCCAGATTAATTCATTTGCTCAAAATAAAAACATTTAAAAGTGACCCAAAGATGATTCAGTTCAGGTTTAGACAACAACAACACAAGAAAATCTTTTTTTTCCCTTCAAAAATGACCCAGAAGCCTTGTACTATGTACAACTGTTTATTCTTGATTTGCAAAACATCCGACAAAAATAACATTACATTAAAACCAATTTATAAGAGAGAAAACAAAGAAACAAGATAAATTGCAATTACAATAGAATTTAGGAGACATAACAGTCTTGATAAATGAAGCCATGACATGCTGACCAACACAGGCAGTTTATGGCTAGTAGCTTGATCAGTCTACAGGTTACAAACACTATAATAAGTACTCCACTGTTCCTGGTGTTTCAGTTTAATGTAGTTTGCGTTTTAAATTTAAAGCAGTATAGGAATTGAGTCCAAAAATGTATTTGCTTTATTTAAAGAGAAATGGAGGGAGGGATAATAAATGTGATCAGACTTCTCCCGACAGATTTCCTTGAGGAATACGTGATGCCAGCTGTTAACACTCTCCCTACGTTAAACATTATGGCACACAGCGAGGGGCAGATGTGACAAAGGCGACGCTGCTCCTCAGAATCTGTCAACCGGTTAAAAGAAAAAAAAAGAAAAAAAACTAATTTCATTCACCTGAAACTGTTCAATACAAATAAAAAAATTTAGTCTACCCACTTTTACACGTCACATGGTTCTAATTTAAAACCCGAATAAGCCCCAGTAAGTTGTGTGTGATTTTAAAAAGGTCCTCCGGTGAAGAAGGTCACTCTGCTGAGGACCTGTGGAAGACGCTAGTATCACACAACCTGCAGACATAAGCAGCGATGCATGAATGCTGAAGATTACAACCCTTCTAATTCCCCCTAATTCATCAAAAAACTGCCAAGGAAAAGACTTAACAGAAGCAGTAATGAAAAAAGATTATATTAATAATAAAGTCTCAGAATAAGTGCAGCCACAACGTTAGGTGGAGCACAGAAACCTCCCGCTTCTTCTGTTGCAAAGCGTCTTTAGAGTCGCATTCATGGAGAAGATGCAGCCGATATCAGCAACATAGCAGCAAGATTAACTTTGCACTGATGAAAATGACATGGTCACCAGGACAGACTGAAGCACTAAGATGCAGAAAAGTATGATAGTTGTTGATTAAATGCAGCTTCATCATAGCCAGAGGGTCAGATTGCAGGCACTGTATCAAAAACACACTCCTGATAATTTATGTGTTAGGGAGGGGAGGGGGGCATTGCTAAAAAAAAAAAAAAAAAAAAAAAAATAACAACCTTCGACTAACTTCATTAACTAGACTCTCCCAAATCTGCGAGAAATCTTTGAGGTAATCATTGATGTATGACGCATTAGACAACAATAAATACAAACATGAATACAAATATTTAAAAAAAGTAAAAACAGAGGCAAATTCTTAATGCTAAAGCAAAAACATGAGCTAAAAGAGGTAGGTGTTTTAGGTAGATTATGGTATACATCCACTGTGGACACTCCGTTTTGTAAGAACTACATTAAACTGATTCCATTACAATGCCTGTTCCTGAAGGGAAGAACAAGAAAAAAATCCATCTCATGGGAGATGGCCAGGTCTCCTGTGAGTCACACGTTTCATTTATTTATTTAGTTATTTTCCTCCAGACAGGATCTGTAATGGCAATTGGTGTAGAAAAACTTCAAAAATGTCCGACGAACATGAGAAACTGTGAAGCTTGCTGGTGATAGTGTACCATGAGGTGGAAATATTTCAGGCATCGTTACTGTGTTACGTTGTTAAAAGAGCAGCCTACCACGATAAAACCCAAACAGGATGATCCGATGATGCTAATGATTCACATTTCCTGGCGGAAAAGATTTCTTTAGGAAAACGATCAAAACAAAAGATATCTAATTAGATATGTAGAGAAGAAATCTGTGTTCAGTCAGTGGCTAGAATACATCTGAGACCTTTCCTGTTCGGTTTTCCCCCGCCCATTAAAACTCCTCCGTTACCCTGTTCTTGTGTGGAGGGAACGCTCCCTGTGGCACTTACATGTTCACCAAACCTCCCGCTGTTTCACACATACATGAATCATCACTGCACCTCAAAGGGAAGCAGCTCTAAATCAAACCCATATCTACAAAACACGTGTATGTATTCAGGACAAAAAATAAAAAAACTTCTAAAGTCAGTGTTCAGTAACCAAGCACATCATCTCCCTCATCAAACTGACATACTATACATACAAGTGGTACTGCCTAAATACACTCGAGCTTCTAACTCTTTAAAGTTCAATCACAGCAGGGCCGTTTGTGGGGCGTGGTCATTAAATCTAAAATCCCCAAAAACACACACAAAAAAAAAATAAAATTAAAATAAAACTAGAAATGGGAATAGTGATAAAAAGGGCTTAATTCTTTTGTGCTATGGAGATTATCCTGACTGTCAGCCTGCAGAGTGTCACAGTGACTGTGCAGAGATAGAGGGAAGTCACAGTGACATAGAGCGGTCTTCTAATAAGGTTTGGGGAAAAAAATTAAAAAAAAATAGAAAAACATATAGGTTGAATCTCAGTGGTGTGAAAATGACTCCACATCACATGTTTGTAGCTCTTTTTTTGTAGAAACAAAGGGATTTGATATAATAAACAAAAAAGGAACCTCTGCAAATATTTTTCAGTCGAATCAACTGCGATTGGAAGAAAATTGACCAAGCATTTCTTTGGAGAATTGCTTCAACACGAAGAACACACCACCTTGTGTTAGTTTTACCTGAATCCTGCATTTAGTCACACAACACTGGCTGGAAACCCAAGCACTTAAAGGTTCGGTTTGTTTTTAGCAGCTTGGCATATTTGCTTTTTAGAAGCTGTCTGATGAAGCAGAAGCCCAGGATGACCGAGAGAAGGCTAGTTCTAGCAACACACAAGCTCGTGTTCCTAACGCCACACACAAACACCACTTTCATTTTAAATTAGAAATGAAAACTCCCAAGGCTCATTTTTAAGTAATATATTGTACGTCTATAACTAGCTTCATATGGCTTATAGTTGAGAGCAGCTTGTCCTCTTCAGAAAATGAACTTTGGAAATTAACATTAACCCGCCTCTAAAATTATAATTAGACCGTGACAAAAACACACACGCAACCACTTTCCGTGTGTCACCTCTACCAAGAAACGAGTGTGTTTTTCTGAATAAAGTGTTAACAGATCAGAAACAAATAAAGGTATATTGTTTTTGCATATATCTTACTGGGGAGAAGAAAAGAAAAAAAGCCTTGAGGATCTTTGTAGCCCTATGTACAGCGGCAGACATATTTATATATAAGTATATATATAACCTGATATTTACACAATGCAGCCACTAGAGGGCTGCGCAGCATACATCATCAAACAGGAGGGCCGGGGCGTGGAGGTGCACAGCACCACCACCACCACAGGCCCTCGGACATTCTAGAAAATCCACTTCCCAGTCAGAAACGAAAGGGGTGAGATATCTGTGGAGGTCTGAAGCAGCTTCCCAAGCTCTCCGCCCACCGAGCTCACGGTATACTGAGGAGGAACAATTCATGGAATTGTTTATATAAAGGTGAAATGACATATAAAATAAAACCCCATACAAAAAGATCTATTGCAATTTTATCCATGTCTAAGTCCAAGTATTGTTTGCATTTGTATTAAAAAACAAAACAAAACAAAAAAGAATTCGATGGGCCTCTTGCTTTGGCCTCCACTCATTTTTCCAGTTATATTTGGCGTTTTAGCCCTTTGAAAATCTGTGGTAGTAAAGACACTGTATACCAACCCCTGCAGTTGACTTGGAGGTTGTTTTACAGTGCTAGGAATACAAGTCAGTAATTATAATCATGGAAATCAATGCAAAAAGATCTTTGTTAAAAGGGTTGGCATAATAAGCAAATGCTTCAGCCAATACCTTTTGATTAGCCTTGTTTCGTGTTTCTTGCTTTGTGATATTCATTGAGATATTTGAATGCTAATCAATAAAAAAAACATCAATCAAATCAACAAAAAGAAAAAAGAAAAATATGCAATCAAAGATGGGTTCAAGAGAGTTCCAAGCCACATCTCCACCCTGGTTTGATCGATCATTAGCACACTGAAATCAGCTAATACATTTAGCGGCTAATTCTCGTCTGAAACCAGGGCAACCTATTAAAGTCAATTAAAACATCTAAGTTTTTGTACTCTGCGGCAAAAATGAAGATAACGACATTTTCCTTCATATACGGTGGGATAACTTGCAGAGTGGCTGCACAAGGGAAGCAGCCATGGCGTAGCAAGGTTATTATTTTAGGTCGGTTTTAATGATTAGCTGACCACACCTTTGGTGAAACGTAAAAGGCATGTGTTTGAATTGTACACAGTCCTAAACATATGTGATCCTGGAGAGAACTAGATACCAGAAACAGACACAGTTTAAAAAGAAATAAAATATATCAAAGAAGACATGATTTGAGAATTATTCATAGTGTGCAGGCAATGCTTTTACACACACATGTGCTGCACCTAATTTGATCTGTGTAAAAGTTACCTTTTCACATTCGTGATGATGTAAATATAAAACAACCCGAGGTAGCTCAACTGAATGGCTAAAAGAACAACTGAGGATGTTTGTTGTGTTGGTGTATGTATGCGTGTGTGTGCACACACACATACATAATGTCCAGGCATTTAAAGCAGCTGTTTGAATTAAATAGGTATAAAAACACTGTATATATAGGCAGATGTCCTATGGATAGCTTAATTTGGACTACATGACATTCCCTTGTTTGCTGTGTTAACATCTGCTTGCTCTCGATACACGTGGCCTTTGCACAAACTTTATATGTTACATACGTGAACATACGCGCACACACTCACTCACATACACACTCACATGCACGCACACTATACTTTCTGTGTTCTGCTAGCTCCATACTCCACACCTGCCTGTAGTCCATCCAGCACATTCTCGGCTCTGTTCTTTCGCTTTTACCCAGCAGAATCTCGTCTCCACAGCCAAACTTCCATCGTGGTTTCTAGGAGACCTCGCTGCCGAACACTTCCAACACCAGCGGAGTGAGCTGCATGCTGTGTTCTGGCCGGAAGGACAGGGAGCGGTACTGTTTGGAGTGCTCCTCATTGAGGCTGCGCAGGTCCGCCAGCTTCTGGATCATCTTGGCGTAGAGCAGCTGTCCACTGGGGTGGTGGAGGCCGATGTAGGCCTGTAGGATCTCGGACAGCCGGTCTTGAAGGGCTTCAATCCTGGTGTGGTCTTGCACACCTGGGCGGTCTGCAGCAGAGACAGGTTGGACAGAGACAGGTCAGGATATTTGTGGTTGTTGCAAAAACTGAACAACAGTTGCAAACTCTAGAATACAGCCCTTTGGTAAGGCTGAACATTCTGTTGTCTCCTTATCAAAACTGTGATTTCAGACATAATTTGTTGTGCCAACTATTTTATACATCCAGGGGTATTTAAAAGTGTTATGGCGGTAGCAGCAACTGCCGGCAAGAGTTTGTGTGTATGGCTTTCCACCACGTGTAACGTAATTGACGCATTATCCCTGCGACCTCAGCGGTGCGTCCCTTCCTGCTGGGAGCATTTTGCATAAGCTGCAAATGTGTTCCGTGAGATCAGAAGAGAACTGCAAAATCAGCTGCGATTTTGCCAGTTCACGCGGTATCAAGTAAGGAGAAAGACGACAGCAAGTATTCAAAAGGCCCATGGAAACACTCGTGTAACGCCAGCTACTAGCTACACATTATGTTTCTTAGATGCACCGTGAAGATTACTCATCCATTGGAAATCCGGGGACATAAATTTTAATGCTTTGATGTCATTTCTTGTCATGTTTTGAAATGTAACTGTACATCAGAAATGTCATGCTGCAGCTTGATTTGAAGAAAAATTTAAACCGCAATGAAATTGCAAAAAAATTCTGCCAGAGAACTGGCATCTAGATCGTTCAGACGCACCCTTTGGTCAGCTGACTTGCTAATTTTACATCATGGCTCGTGCGCAGGAAATGTACGCCATTCACATTGGGTGGTAAAGATTGGGTAAATGGCTTGTGTTCACATAGCGCCTTCTTAAGAGTTCTACCCCCCCCCCCCCCCCCCCCCCCCCAAGGTGCTTCACAACACAATCAGTCATCCACCCATTCACAAGCTGGTGATGAGCTACGATGTAGCCACAGCTGCCCTGGGGCACACACAGACGAGGCCTGCCAAACACTAGTCTCTCCGACCACCACCAGCAAGTAGGTATGAGTACAGAATTTGGTACTTTTTAAGGTACCGACCGAATTCCATAGTACCGACCGAGCACCGATTCACGTCATTTGAAACGGTGCCTCGTTTTGGTACCCGTCCTTCATAACGAGAACTTGCCAAGACAGCTGCGCATGCGCAAGAGCGTTATGTCATCGCTCGCTGCGAGCCAGTTGTAAACAGAGCAGCATGGTAGAAAGAACGCACGCTAAAGCTTGGGTCCACTTCACTAAATGTGATGGTAACTGGGTGATGATGAAACCAGCGACAACGATCTAAGTGAGACATCCTCATCTTAATCTGTTCCGGTAGGTAAATAAAATGTTTAAGATAACGTTAGCTTGATATGTTAGCTTCCGTTTCGCTAATGGTGCGTTCGCTTTCTCCTCGGAACTCCGAATTTCCGACTAGAACATGAACGCGCTCTAAAGTTTGGCTTCACTTTACTAAATGCGACGGGTGATTGGGTGAAGATGAAACCAGTTACAACGATCTAAGTGTGCGGCATCATCGTTTAAATCTGCTCCAGCAACTAAATAAACTGTTTAAGATAACGTTAGCTTGATATGTTAGCTTCCATTGCCACCGTTGTTATCAGCTAATGGTGCGTTCGCTTTCTCCTCGGAAATTCTAACTTCCCAGTAGGAAAAATAGAATGAAAAAAGACGGCAAAAGGAATGAAGATACACAGTAAATTTAGTTCACAGTAAAGATGTTTGCTTCAGTTTAATTATCAGCTTATAAAACTACAAGGACGATGTTAAAATACAAACAGTTGAATGTTATTTATCGTGATATTGATCAAATATGGTTATGTATTGAGAAAAACATATATTTAATCATAAAAGAGAATTAAAATATTAAACACTCAAAAATATCGAAAATTGGTACCGTTAAGTACCGGTATCGATTCCTAAGTACCGGAAATAGTACCGAATCGATTCAAATGTCAAAGGTACCCATCCCTACCAGCAAGGTGGGTTAAGTGTCTTGCCCAAGGAGACAACAGCAGCATTCTCTGGTCAGAGCGGAGATTGAACCTGCAACCTTTCGATTACTGGACAAACTGCTCTACCTCCTGAGCTACTGCTGTTCCTATAACTCAATGTACACAATTTATCAGTATTGGCTCAAAACTTCTTATAGGTGCATCAGTTTTAAATCATCTTTGCAGCTACTGAAGTCTTACAGGTTGCATTTTCTGAAAAGAAAGAGAAAGAAGGGCTGTCAACAAAAGAACAATGACCCTCTCCCTCACTGTCACAGTACCTGGAGAGAGCAGACAGATGGCCATCAGCAGTACGTGTTCCTCCTCATGCAGGCCCAGTTTTTTCAAGCCCACCTGGAACTTCACCAGTGGTTCCAGCAGCTCCAGAGTGTGACCCGCTAAAGGAGATCAAAGTTTACCGTGAAACACTTAAACAAGCTCCAACATCTCCTCAACTCTAATGTAATCTTTCCTGATTCAATCATCTCAGCTGAACATTAATTTAATCAGTGTTTGTTAATGTGATTAGACAATCTCCTTTTACTGCAGTTAAAAAAAAACTACGAGACAAAAGCAAGTGAATGCATCAGCAATGTCCCAATCCAATCTATTGGATCTCAAATACTGGATTGGGCTCCATATCAAAGGGTTTCTTGGCCTCAATGACCAATCTCTGGTATCTTACATTAACAACAGCTTAGTTCATACAGGAAGGCAAAATTTAAATGACTGCTGAAACACAAAAACGGGAGCATCACTGAATCACCAGGAGACAAAGTGAACAAGCGTCATCGGATTAAACACTCATTTATGCTTTTAATTTAATCTGTTTGATGTTAAAGTAAAAGAGGTAGAGACTGAGTCTAAAAATCTTCTGCACGTATTTCTAAATATTTACTTGGTCACTTTGGTGAAAAGGAACAAAGACCGGCAAATGTCAAAGTGCAAAAGAAAGGACTTGGCTTTTTTCTTCCCGTGGTGATTGTAAAAACTTTAGGTAACTTATTAACAAAGGTTTGTTTTCTTTTTCCTTCTGCATAGCAGAGCTGCTGAGGACACTGCTATCGGACCCAGTGTTAAACTTAAAACCCTATTTTACAATTTTACTTGTAATTGGGGCACATCTTGTCTGTAACGGCACACAAAGACCACGCACAAAACAAACCCCGACTGTGTGTGTAATAGATTACACGGTGTAGAAAACAACAAGGGGGCAACGTCCAGGAAATCAACGGCAGCGTCTCCGTTATCTTAGGTACTGTAATCCTTTCATGTTGTTATCGTTCAAGCTGAACTCATCAAGACGCTTACAGCTGATTGGAAGTGATTCAATCACTGATAGCATGTGTTAATTGGCTGAAGTTGGGCTGTTTTTTTTATCTCACTTAATAAAACAACATTTAACAATGAAGCTGCCTTCTTAAATGGAAAATGGCATAAATGTTATGGAATATGTCTAAATGCAAAAAATATCAGGCTGACTCAACATGTGGTATGAATAGACTAATGCATGATCACAGAAATTCAACGTTACATGTTTTCTTTTAGAATATTTCAGTAAACATCTTTGGTGTGTTCTGGCTGTGTTTAGTTTCACATTCCATCTTTCAGTTCTTTTTAAAACACAGAAAAGGTTTAATTGATGTATGGTAGGGTTATCACAAGAGGACAAACACATACAACATGCTTTAAAGACCTGCGGATACCTGACATGGGCAATAAACAAAGGAAAACAACAAACAAAAACAGAAAGAAAAAACAACCAAAGCAAAGAACCAGAAACCCAGAAAGACAAGAACCAAAACCAGTGATAACCCTACCATACATCAAAGGCATAACAGAAAAAATAAGAGCAACAACGGAAAAAACAACATAAACACACCAACAAAACCATACACAACAGTTAGAAACAGACTAGTGCACCCAAATGACAAGATACCAGCAGGACTTAAATGTGGAGTCATTTACGAAATCCCATGCAAACTCTGCAATAAAACATACGTAGGAGAAACCGGACGCCAACTCAACACACGAACAATAGAACATAGAAAGGAGTGCGAGAAAGAGGCAAGTCGAAAACACACAAGAGCAGCAAAACAAGAAGCAGAAAGCACAATAAAAAAGTCAGCCGTAATAGATCACTGCACAAGAGAAAACCATACAATGGACTGGGATAACACAAGGATCATAAACACCGAACAACAGAAATACAAAAGATGGATAAAAGAAGCTATCAAGATAAGGAGACGTGGATGTGGGACCATGAACAGAGACGATGGAGTTTACTCGTTGGATCGCGCATGGGACTGCATCATCGGAGAGGGGAGAGCTGATGAGCGGATAAACGAAGGAAGTGACGCCACCATCGGCGTCAGCCTGATGATGTTTGCAGCCGCAAACGAAACGTTGCAGGTAAATAAACCTTTTCTGTGTTTTAAAAAGAACTGAAAGATGGAATATTTCAGTAAAACTCGTAAAATACTTACAATTTTTCATTGATTGTTTTCTGCCCTGAAGAACAGAACATTTTTTACTTTTAACTTTTTTTGTACAATGACCTTGTTATCTTAAAAAAACCTATTAACTTTTTCCTTTTTTTTTAAGTGAATAACTTCACTGGAAGATATTTTTCAATACAGCTGTTTTGATGAACGTTGTGAAAAACAAGTTCAGGATGTTCTGAGCATTTTGTTATTACACAGAGAGAAAGATCTATTCCAGCCATGTTTGTGTCACACAGTCAATAACAGAGAGACTATTCAGTGACAGCTTTAAGAGCACAACAAAGCTCCTCTGGGTTCACACGGTTGTTGTTTTGCACGGCGAGCAGGTCAGAAGTGACATTCTTCTCTTGCTCCCAGAGAAAAAGGGGTCTTGTTTAGAACATAAATGAAAGCCATGCCTGTAGGGCTTCCACAGAGATGTAAGACAGGTTATGCTGAAGCACTTGTGTTAGCGTTATTAGCTTGTTAACGACAGACACGTTTTCTTTAATACTAAATAATTGTAGTATATTAAAGTTGTGCCATTACACTAACCTTTGGTGACATCACTGATCTGGTATTTAAAGTCGGGCCCACCGCAGCTCCAGGTCATGTCTTCCAAGTTGAAACTCTGATTTGAGCGCAGCATGATCACCTCGATGGCGCTAGACTTGAGAAGGGCAATCTGGTCCTCGGCAGTCAGTTCCCTACGGGCAGCAAAACATGAACTATGCTCAATCCAGTGTTGATTTGTGTCAAACCAGGTAATGGAGTCGCATAACAATGACATGTAGGACAAAAACCTTTGTCCAAGTGACGCCGTTTTCCCCATCAGCTGCTAAAACTCTCATGCTCAAATGTAGAATATGACAAACTGATCAACCAGCGGGAGTGGTGAACCAAAGCCCACCGACGTCACGGAGGGGTCTGATTTATTTTTCAGGGATTAGAAAGCAGATTGAAAGTGGGTAAACATTCCAAAGGTAAGCCATCATTTTCATCACCTGTTGTCAGTCATTATGAAACCTTTAGAAAAACACAGGCTCAAACTCATTTCTACTTTGACTTTGGATTGACCCCACAACACACTGTGCGTTTGTCCCTGTCAACACACACACACACACACACACACACACACACACACACACACACACACACACACACACACACACACACACACACGCACACGCACACACACACACACACCCTTGTGTGAAGAGAACAAAACCAGTATTAATTAGGGATGCTCCGATCCAATCACGTGATCGGAAATCAGGTGGGAAAAATTGGATTTAACCATAAAAACAACTAACATTACTTTTAAAATTCATCCTGAGAAAGAGAATTTCAAAGGGAACAACAATGGCTTAGTTTTAAATTTAACAAGGTCCTCTACATCAGTGTTTTTTGTTCCACAGACAACCACAAAATCCCACAATTTAAGGTAGTCCAGGAATTCACACAGCATAACATGTAGCTGTTAGCTAGCACAGAGCATACTTATCGCCTCAAGAGAGAAAATGAGGGACACTGCAACAAATGGGATAAGCCAGCTGACCTGAAATAATGATGTGTTAAGAGAAATGAAATATGTATGGAGAACAAAAATACCATATAAAATACCAGATGGCAGTATATTTATCATACTGGATGAGTGTCTGTGGTGGCAAACGTCAGGTTCTGCAGTCTCCTTGAGTCGTGGTACGATCTGCGTAATCTTCCTAACTTTACAGATGCAGCAGCTCTACAGGTGTTTTGTAGAAAAGAGTGACTCTGTTGCTGACAGTCATGTGACATCCCTGTCGCTGAAAACAGCTGCACACTGAGTGAACTAATACAAATATGAGCAACAAGGCTACTTTTACATTTATTCTTAATATTAACATGTTTCTTATTAATGTAGTTCCTAAACAAGTGATGTTTTATGGCATGTTAACTAAAGAAACACATTAATGATTAAAAAAAATCTTAGGACAACTCTATTGTGTTTTTTTTTCATGCATTTCTAAAGTATCGGATCGGGATTTGGAATCGGATCAGAAAGAAAAGAACTTGATTGGAACATCCCTGGTATTAATTTTATCAGACAGGTCAACTTTGACACACTAAGCGAGCAATAATCTTCTGTTTAGGAGCGATATTTGATCTAAACTGTGCCCATCAATAAACTATGATCTTTATACCTTGGGCACGTGTTATTCACATGGCACAAGATCAATTCATACAGCAGGTGTACAAAGTCTTCCGAAGACATTTGGGTCAAAAGTCACGCTGAGGCAAACAATTATGAAAACGTGAAATGCAGTTTCGTACGTTCAGCGAGGCAGCAATCAGACTCTTCCTGACCGATCTCATGAAAATGATGAAATCAAAGCTACAAAATATTCTGAAAGTTGTCAAAAATAATCCAAAGAAGCCCAGATTGTACCTGGCCTCTTATCTCTACGGGTTATGCGAGTCATGAGTCATGCGCTGAATGAAAAGTAAAGTCAAAGAGAACTGCATAAGGTCAAAAACAAAACCGTACATCAGCCAGGGTTTTTGTTACACGTGATTTCTGCTTTAATGACATTTTTAGTTCCACACTTAACTATAAATGCAGCGACAACAGACAAAGATAAACATACCTGAATCCAGGAATCATCTTGGCAAAACCGATGACCTTCTGAATGCTGTAGGAGACCAGGTCAGCCAGGTGGGGAAGCATCGAGAAGCTTGATCCTTCCTCCTCGCTGGAGTCGGGGCTGTTGCCATGCTCCTGGTACATCATCAGATTGTTGTAGAAGTTCATTTTTGTGTCAACGGACTCTGCAGGCATGGGAAGCAAAAGGAAATACCAGACATAAAAACATGGAAATGTAGAGAAATTGCTGAGATGATATAAATAAAAGTGTCATTGTTCCTATTTGAACTTTTAAGAAGCCTTTGTAGTGTGCGACCGTCACCTGGAGAGTGACTGAATGAGTCAGAAGAGGCATCAGAGAAGGAGTGGAGAGAGGCAGCTCTGCTGGCACTTCGTGTCACTGGACCTTCACGCACAGGAGGCTACAACAGAGAACCGGGAATGCTTGTTTACCTTGAGAACAGCAAATCGTTTTCTATTTATTCTGCTACAGCACGGCTCCTGATTTTATAAATCACCCTTTTGACTGAGTAAAACGTGACAAATTCTGAACTGTGTACATAAGCTTTTCAGTAATTCTGAATAAACTAGAGGGAGGTTTAAACTACAAGAACTCAGGTGAAGTGATGTAATGGTATGCTTCAGGGTGGCTCCTTGTGGAAAAGCAAACCTGTGAGTGTTCCTTTGAGTGGGACAATCACACCGTCATTCATACTGTCATTTTTCCAAGAATGCTCAGACACAAACCCTGAAACGGCAGAAATCAGAGTAGGAGTCGTCATATGTTTTGTGGTGTGCCTCCACCAGCGTGGCGATGACCTGGCTCTGCTCTTCGGTGAGTCTGGGTCGCCGTGCTTCCTTTTCTGCTTCTCGTTGTGCCTCCTCCTCCTTCCTCCGCTGGATCAGGTCCTTCTTTCTCTGCACTTCCTCGTCAGTCAGAATGACTGGAAGGGCAAGACGGAGAGAAACAGAGAGCTTTAGAAATCTGCTTATGGGGGGAAGAAGAATAAAAACTCATGCGATGACTCGTTTCATAAGAAAACAATAAATAAAACAATTACACTTGATGTAAAACAGAGGATGGTAGATTAGAAATGAGCAGAATGGGTGGAATCCATCCAGATCATCAAAGCTGTTCTAAGGTACACCATGTACTTGGGTTAAACACTGTGATGACAGCCATGTCTATGTTGTGTTGGTTGAAAAGAGGTTGTTATTCTCTGGAGGAAGAGAATGGGAGGGGATGGGTCCATATGGAGACCCCCGCTGCACCGAACAACTGAACACATTGTCTTTGTTCTGTTTGCTTCTTGTTGTTCTAGCCGCTGAATTAGCTCACAGAAACAGAGAGAGAGAGACGAGTCTGGACAACAAGCTGCTGTTCCTGAAACAGTAACAGCAACATCAATGGCTCCTGTTTACATACAGTGAACCGCAGTGCTGTTGCCAACACTCCCAGAGACACTTTGGGGTGGGGGGTTAAGATGGCAGGGTGAGACGTTCTGAATGAAAAGAATCCTGTGGACAACATCCAGATATTATCAGAAAACAGGGCAAAAAAAAAGAGATGTACCTGCTATTTGCAGACAGTGAAAACAAACACAAATCTGTGGCTGAGTTTGTTAGGTGTTTAAACTCCAGATGGGTTATACTTTATACACAACAGGCAGGATACAGTTGTTTAAACAGACCACATAAACACTGTAAAGGGGCAAAGACCCACAGACACCTGACCCCAGTCCAAATATTACATAAAATTTTCAGGAGGGACTGAAGGTCCCCCCAGACAGCAAACACCAGTCGTACAGCTAAAAACAAAAGGTGCTGTTATCATTTCACAGGGTCTCAGGAGAAAATGTGATTTATTTTTTCTTTTGGTAGTAAGCAGCGCCGTCAGTTTCAGATATTATGGTACTTTCTGAAGGGTGTTCCTGTAACAAGGTTATGGACAGCTTCTCTACTGTAGAATGCTCTTTGAGCAGCCTCAGTTTGGAGAAAGAGGCTAGCTCCGATAATGATACGCCTGTTCCAAGGTGAATTACTATCAGTAAAAGAGACTTTGAATCTCATAAATGTCAAAGCAGTTTATGCTAATATTTTACATAGCTTTACAGGCTGTGTCCAAATTCATGGGCTCCATCCTTTCGAGTTGTCATTTAAAGGCTGATTTATGTCACGGCATAGCAAAAAAGGCTGTCCTAATTCCAAGGAAACTCAACTGAATCCCCAAATGAGTCCTTGTTTTCCCAGAAATCCAAGGACAGATCTTGTGTATCCTCATTGGTTTATTATAGCCTGTCAGATAGCTTAATACTAGACTCATTACTTTCACCCAACCAATCGACAACACAGATCCAGGCACGCGCCGTCACCAAGCCCTCCCCTCTCAAACCTAAGCAGACAGCACGCGACTTAAACAAGACGTGGCAGCAAGGAGAGGCGGAGGAAAGTCTCCCAAAAAGGATTTTTTTTGTTTTTAAAGTCGTTTGCTAAAATTGTTTTGGGGGCTTAACCGAACTTTTCAGCTACCAGAGCTGCACATTTGGTTATTTTGTGTTTATTTATTTCATTTGAAAGCATTTTTTTTTACCTTCAGCTGTTCTTGCATTGTTAGAGTAGAACAAGAAGCAAGGATTTTTCTTATACAGCGCCTCTTTAGATAAAGATCACAAGAACATAAAAAATTCAAAATTGGGAGAAAAAAAATCATGAATCAGACCTAAATCTCAATCGCTGCCAGAAAAATGATCATAACTCAATCTTCTCTTGAAATCGTTCAGTCTTCGAAAAATAAAGATGTTTAAATAAAATATTTTAAAAATATCTGTACAAGAGCCTGTAAGGTTGGCTTGTATTTCTTTATGTATTCGAAGGACCTGACCTACGTGGACCAGATAGGACCATCCTTAAACGTCCTTACCCTTACATGTCCCTACATTTGGACACAGCCACGATCATAAAACTGTCATAAAACCTACAAATTCTATAGTAATAATTTTACAGCTGAAATTAGTAAATGATCTGTAAAACATTTGGTCAAGCTTTCATTTTTCCAACTAAATAATCAAGTTGTATGAAAATGACAGCAGGGTCAATGTTTAAAACAATGTTTTTGAGGGTAGAGTCGTTTGAATACAACAGAAATCCACTTTGTGACTGGGTCCACTGTGATTGTTAACTCATCTGCGTTGACAGAATTAAATCTAAAACTTTCCACAGAAACCAGCTTCAGACCAGAACCATCCCTTTAATTCTGCATTCCAGGTCTTTCAACCAGTTCAGTTTTAAAAGTAATTAAAAAATCTTTTTTTAGAGGCACAAATTAAACCACATAGGTCAAATGATGGCCTAACAATAAAAAATAAACATCATGCCGGGCTCACTTATGGGTGTCCAAAACATCCTACTAAGCAAGAAATATGAAGCTGTATCAAATGAGCAGTGTCCTCTTTAAAAGATATTTATGGCATGAACTCTGGGCTTTGTAGCATAAGGCCGATAGGTCCCATGTTTTACTTACACTCTTTCATCATGCCAATGTCCACACAGCGTTTGAGTCTGCATGCCTGGCAGTGGCGCCTGTTGTCCTTGGTGATGGTGCAACTGCCGTTAAAGGGACATGTGAAGGAGGCCTTACGCTTCATACTGCGCCTAAACAAAGGGCATATACTGTGAAATACATTAAAATACAAAAACAAGAAGTTATTTCAGCACACAGAACGTTAGCAGCGTTATAAGAGTTACAGATTTAAGGCTAAGTGTCAGAACATTTCCGTTTAAATTATCACTTCAGAATCATTTGTCAGTGCAATTTCATAAAGACGTGTCTTTAGCAGAAATATTAATCAAGGCAGTTTCCTCCGTTGAGCCTGGGATGGCAGGAAAAATGTGAAACAGCATAAACGTGGACATGTGCCAAGAAATCCAAAGGTAAAATGGAAGTCTCGTCATTCAGCAACATCAGCTGTAGTGATTTTGTCACGTGAATTTACGAACGTTTCTGTGTGAACAAACACTCGTGCATGCTTTGTGAGAGTTCAAACACGAGCCATCTGAGAGACGAGGAAAGGGGATTATTAAACATCCGTATTTTCTCTGCTCTCCCTGTGAATATCAACACTGGTGGAAGGAACAGATGCAAACGGACAGATATGTTCAACACAAACATACCCAAAGAAACAAAGAAAAACAAAACTGCTCCAGTTTGCTTTTGATCATGTTGGAAACTAAAAATGTGTGACATTAGACGTGCATTTAGGTGCAAGTGTGCCAACATGTACACATGCTATTGATGTGGTAGATGTCTGCCTTGTTCTGGGCATGCAAACCATTAACAGTTTACACAACCTGTACTTACGTACTAATGCATGCAAATCTACGTATGCATTGGAATTTATGCCAGAGTCTCATCTCACATACTAATGAGTGTGTTAGTATACCTGAAAAAGCCCTTGCATCCTTCACAGGTCATGGCATTGAAGTGGAAGCCCGTGGCTTTGTCACCGCACACACCGCAGATCCGTGGCACATTCCTATCAAACTCATCAGGGGAAGGATTGGACGTACTCACAACAGTAGGCTCCATCACTGAATGGGGGGAAGAGAAAACCATGAATGTGCCTGCCAAACCACTAATATCAAAAGCAAATGTGTACATAGTTGTATTTTCTGTTTTTCGATGTCACTTGTCGAACAAACGGTGTGGGAGACGACGTCCTTTTCTACTTTTGGGGACAAACAAAAAGGAGTCAACTGAATAATTTAGGATAATTTGACACGACTCTAAATCACTCACTTCAAATATTAGGAAGAAAAGCTCAAGATGAGCATCTGGGAAAGTTTTTTTTAGTTGTTTTGAAGTCTAGTCACTTCTTTTACTGCTTTAAAAACAAATTTTCTGGTCTTGGTCAATTATGAGTAGCATTTATATTATTTAATTAAACAGGTTGACACTTCTTTTCTTTTGAATTTCAGTGGTTTGAGCCCAATGGTTAAACCAAACAGGAATCTCCAATACATCCGAGGCTGTAGAACACATGTCTGCAAATATGTGTTAAGGGAATCCAGCTGATGGGTCAATCAGACAGTTCTGATTAACATCAGACCACAGAGTAACTGTTTAGACGTATGGTTCTTGCTACTGAGATCATGTGTTCCAGACATGAAAACTCAAACTCAAGCAGGAGAACAACGTTTTTTTCAAGATTACATCTAAATGATAACAAGTCAAAAAGGTATGTAAAAAGCCAACGTGAACACTGTAGAGTGATCAACTAGTCATTATTTATTGAATAGGGAAGGATGTGCCCTAAGCTCTTCTTTCCATTTGTCTAAATGCACATTTTGTGGTTTTCTCACATCCTCTTACTTCTGAGCTCAAAGTACACTCTAAAGTCCCTCAGCGTGACATAAAAGTGACAACAATCACATTAACTACATATTTTGTCTTAATGACAAACCTAAAAATATGTTACATTACATTTCAAGTAAGTGGTGTTTTATCCATCCATCCATTTTTGGCCACTTATCCGGAGTAGGGTCGCGGGGGCAGTAGCCTAAACAGGGAGGCCCAGAATTCCCTCCACTTGGGCCAGCTCCTCCGGGGGAATCCTAGGGCGTTCCCTGGCCAGCCGAGATACATAGTCTCTCTAGCGTGTCCTGGGTCTTCCTATAGGTCTTCTCCCAACTGGATGTGTCCAGAAACCCTCACCAGGAAGGCATCTAGGAGGCATCCTAACTAGATGCCAGAGCCACCTCAACTGGCTCCTCTCCATGTGGAGGGTCAGCAGATCTACTCCGAGCCCCTCCGGGATGACTGAGCTTCTCACCCATCTCTAAGAGCCCAGCCACTCTGTGGAGAAAACTAATTTCAGCCACTTGTATCTGCGATCTTATTCTTCTGGTTTCTACCCAAAGCTCGTGACCGTAAGTGAGGGTAGGAACGTAGATCAACCGGTAAATCATGAGCTTTGCTTTCTGGCTCAGCTCCCTCTTCACCACGACAGACCGGTACAATGACAATGCCTACATCCCTGCAGACGCAGCACCAATCCGCCTATCGATCTCGCGCTCCAGCTTTCCCTCACTCGTGAACAAGACCCCTGAGATATTTAAACTCCTCCACTTGAGGCATAACCTCATCCCTGACCCAGAGAAGGTATTCTACCTTTTTAGAGTTTTTAAAGGTAATTTCTTTAAAAGTCAGGACTCCATGTGGCTAAACAAGTACCTTCATCCAGCAAAACAACCAACATGCAATTAATTCCACTGATATTTTAAAAATGGTCAAATCACAAAAGCGCAAGTTTCATATATTTGTGGTTGACACCTTCTGTGGTAGTCACCTATCTGGCCAGTTTGCCACTTTCAGATTGATCTTCACAGCTTTTGAGAGTTTTTCTAAAGTCTGTAGACGTGGTCAACTTTAACACACAAACGGTAATAGAAGTCCGTCATGTTATACATTTCTGACTTGTGTAGAATCAATGAAGCATACTGCTTAGTTGTATTAGTTCAACTAATACAGTATGCAAACTACTCCCAGCAAGCACTACAACTCATCACTCACTGGGAACAAAACACCCATTTACCTTAGTTTATTACTGAGTGACTGCTGAAGTCAGTCCTCTGTGATTGCATCCTGCCTTGACAGGCCATTACACTAAATGTGCAGAAGAATTGAGAGAGCTCTAAATAATGCATCAGGTTATTAGAGCAGATCTGTACTCATTCCAGTCTGGGACACGAGGAGCAAAGGAACTGGTTTTCAGCTCTGGGCAGTGATTGAAGATCTCACTCTAGACTGAAAGAACTATCACTCATATGTTGTTCAATCAAGTGTTTGTGGTTGCTGTAGTGATAATCCAGGCTTCCTTTTTACAGCATAAACAAGGTTAACTGGAAGTGAATTCTGCATACCCCGTTTAAAAAAATTGCGTTTTTATCCACCTGAGAATCCACAAACGCTTTACCACAGTATGGGAACTTGTCGGGTAATCATGTAAAAATAACTGCATTACTAGGTTCATTTTCCAACATAGCTGTGTTGGAAAAAGAACCTAGTAATGCAATTAAAAAAAATACACTAAATGAAAGCAGAAAAGATGTAAAGAATAAGTCCGACACATGAGATTTCATCTCACGGTCCACATTACGACGGTCATCTTGGGAGATATTAAACTAGGCCAAACGGGTGCAATCACACTTTGCGAATATCACAGAGAAGGAAACTTATCAGCCATGACCAGTGATGGTAAAAGTTTACTTGATTTTTTTAAATTTAAAACCACAGAAATTTTATTTTGTTGTACCTACGTTAAACACACAACAGTACATCAAAAGATTTTTGTCCCCCCCACCCCACCCCCACCCCCAAAATACCCATCTGGAAATAAGAGACATAAAAATAGTCAAGTGCATTACATTCTGTGGAATTTATCGTTTGTTTTGCGGTTTCTTGGTCTTGAAAATAAAATCTCAGTCCGTTAAACAAGATGAATGGAATGTGTGTCACATTCCCTTTAGTAAAATTTACTCAAACTAGTAAAGATCTGAACATAAAATTGTTTTGAAAACTGTCTTTCTGCATCCCCTTAGGACCGTAAAGGTTTTGTTAACCTGGGATGTTTCGGTCACAAGCATGACGGTGTGAAACTGTCTGGGGGTTGGACTAAATGCTGAAATGAATGTGTTGGAAGAATAGAACCTAGTTCCAACTCTGTCTCAACAAAAACTTACATGAGTTGAATAATCTCTGAAACCATAGGATAGTTTGGAAAAAATATGTAATAAAGACCTCAAAAAGGAGTTGGAATGTAGGTGGACAGCCGAGTCTTGACCACAGAAATCAGGTCTCGTGAGTTTAATTTCCCTATTTTAAACGCCTGGACTGAACTGGACAGCAAACACAGTTTAGCTTCTGATTGGCTGTTTCATTTGGTGGTTAAATAAGTTTTTGTCAGGGGGTGCTGTAAGATTTGGAGTTTACCAGGAGGTTGAATATTCATTTAAGTTGGTCAGAGAATCTGAAACCTTTGTATCGATTTCACTTTTTGGAGAAAAAATAAAGATTTTTTTTCTTTGCATACTCACAGGTTGTTTAGTAAAATCTGTCACTAAGGAAAGGTGTATTTCTGAATGAAATTAAAAAAAATACACAATAAATTTAAAGCACAAATAACTGGCAATATTAGCTAGCTAGAGGGTATTGTATGAATTGAAAAGTTTGGAAAAAGTGAAACATTACATTTCATTTGTCATCATTCTTTGCTATTTTAGGGTCCAGTTCATGAAGCAAATGATGCCATTGATATGATAGCACAAAGTGATCCATCAGCTTCATTAGCTGGGAGTACTTTGCACTCTTTTTGGCAAATAAACAAGGCTATGAAATAGAGTGAGGATAATGTTTTGTCACCACGAGACCCAAGTCTGACCAAATGAAAAAAAAAAAGTCAATTACTTTGTTCACTACCCTTTTAATCTAAAAGAGTATCTCTTGGAAAGTGTAATTATCACTATGTACTATATGGCTTGGCATTCTGAATGTAAAACAGCTGCAACTATGACTTTGTAATTAATCGACTTCTTGATTATAGATAATTTGTACACATATTTACATGAGACATCAAATGATCCCATATGCAATATACAGTGGGGGACGTATTTGACACATCAACTGTTTTATCAGTAAGGAATTTTCTAAATGAGCGATTGAAACTAAATTTCCACCACGTCAATATCAACTCAAGTAGTTAAGTCTTGCACAAACATTTAAACATTCAGTCCATAAAATGAGTTATGTCCAGTGAAGAGAATAGCCACAGCGATAAAATATTTAAAACGTGAAATGTACAAAATGCAACAAGGGGCATAGAAAGCCAGATCTTCTGAAATCTGTCAGCAGAGAGGAACTCTGTCCCTTATCAGTACTAATTGATATCAGCTGCTTTGGTCCTAATTGATGGCCAATAAAGGCTTCTCATTACACAAGAGGCACAAAAGAAAGACTTCATGATGGATAAAATTAAAAGAACTCTCCCAAGATCTTCGTAATCTTATCGTCGAAAAGCATTCTAGTGGGAATGGTTAAAGGCACATTTCCAGAATGCTGACTGTTCCTGTGAGGACTGTGAGGGCCATTATTGGTGCCACAATCAGCTGCTCCGTGTAAGAATCCTGTCCAAGATTGATTGATTTAATTTATTTAAGTGTCATACACCATAAAGGTGCCCAGCCCACACGAGTCCACACGTAGTCAGTTTTTTTTAAACGAATATCCGCCCCTCCAAAAACTTGCATCCACACCACCTCGTTTAAAAAAAAAAAAAAAAACTGTCCACACGTACCCGGATAAATACGTTAAGGACATGCCAGACCTGTAGACGGCAGTACTTCCCCCGTTCTTAACCTAGTCCTTCGTCTGTGGTCTTCTGCAAGGAGCAGTAGTTCCGCTTGCAAAAACAAACAAGCAAAAAGCGCTTGGACAATTGATAAAGCGAGCGCAGCTCTGAGGGCATCCATGCTGTCGGCTAGTGTAAACACAGGTCGCACACGTGATGTCAGCATTTTTTGTCGCGGAAAGTGAC